GCACGGCAAGGTCAAACATGACTGCACGCATTACGTCACTGCTCACTGCTTCCTTATTTACCACTAAGCACAACGGATCTGTTCATCAAATTAGTTTTATATTTTAGTGTCATCATGCAATACTATTGACAAACAGTTTAGACATAAGGCTAATGATGGGAGATAAATACCTACAAGAAACTGTCGGCAAACAATTAAAGTGAAGTGACAACTAGGTCGAGCTAGTGAGCCCTGCCCTGGTCCGAGGCTGTCTGCGGCGCCGCCGACTCTATTCGCCAAAACGACTACGAAGTCTACAGTTAAAGTAAATAATTTTCCTCTACAGATATCGATTGTACCAAAAGAACTATGCGGCTCCTACGTAAGGAGTAACCGAAGTAAGCTGAATAATTTATAAACCTTATCAAGGATAATTATATTTTGGGAAAGTTACAGAGAGGTTCCGCTGCGCCGTGAGACTAAACTGATCCCACGGTATCAAAGCGCGAATTTAACGAAGTTGTGGTTTCATTCGATTTGACTTAAGCCGGAGGCGGAGTCAGATAACTTGATAGTTAACTTAAATGTATTACACAACACGAAGCAGCTAAAGTAGCTCAAACAAAGGTCACAATTACGCTTCGTTATATTGTTTGGCAGACATCGTTGCTCTTAAAACAAAATACATATATTCTCCCCTCTCTATATTCCACATTACTTACACTCGTGGTACTGTTTTACTGAGTGAGGATTTTTTTTTACATTTTTAACTTTATGATGTAATCGTCATTTATATCTGATAGATTTAAATATTAAAATTTTCAACATACTTATTCCTAACTAATTATTTAACGGCTATCGTTCACGTCTATTTTTTAAAGGAATGGAAGGTTTAAATACTAAAGTTTAAAAAATTTAATATTTATTCCTTCTCATATGAATTTTTAACAAAGGATTTCTAAAACAAAGGAATGTAAGATAACGATTGACTATAATATAATGAATTAAACAAAAAAAGGAAAATAAAATGTTGATAGAATAAGCTCAGTAGATACTCGGCTTGGAATAAGCTCCCGCAAACACAGGGCTTAGTGTTTCATTGTCGACGATCGCGAAGAAGAACGGCTTGTCAGCGGTGAGAGTGAGCGGGAAGCTTTTGAAGGAGAAGTCGGCCTCGGTGGCGGCGGCGGCGGCCGTGCCGTGCTCCGACACGGTGACGGTCGCGCGTTGCCGCAGCGCCGACACGTACAGCGGCCGCTGCGACACCCCCGGGAAGCTCGCCTCTCCGCTGTCGAATATCGCCCTCAGTCCCATCTCCATCAGGAGCTCCTTCAAGTTGTCCGTGTTGGAGGACATCTTAAACCTCGGCAGGCTGAGGATTACTTCCTGGACCTCTGATTTTTGCAAACGTTCTATTATGCTTGTTAAACTGATCTTGTTTAAGGCATCTATAACATACCTCAACTTTGTGTCTGCGTAGGGAACTAAAACATACATAGAAAATTTACTATCATTGTACGGCACCTCGACTGCCGTCGCGTTTATATCGTCCATGCTCCAAGCCTTAAAGAAGTCGGTTAAAGTCATGAGGTTGACGCGGCCGATTTCGTTCGATAGCTCGTCGTGGAAAGCCCTCTCTACCGTATCTTTTGTAGGAAATGGAGTTTTCCAGGCGCCTTCAAATCGGAGAACGTCCACGATCATCATAGCGATGTCTGCCAAGTCGTTGGCGTCCACCATCTTCTCAATGGTACCGTTGGTGGCGGACCTCACGCGCTCGTTGACCGCCGCCGCGACGCGTTCCTGGTCGCCGACAGACACCTCTACCACCTCGCCGACACCGGCTTCCTTTACTTTCCTACGAAATTTATCAATAACGGGCGTGTTTTTATCGATGAATATTGCCGAAGCGCCTTCTAAACCCGTCGCAACATTCGGAGAGTAAATGTTTTTTGTTATTTGGAAGAACTTTTTGACGCAACTTTTTTGGGAACTGTGTCGAAGTACAGTATTTAGTTCTTGCAGCGAGGTGCCCGAAGCTCCGAGAGTCGTGTAGGCCAAAAGCGTCCACGCGGACAGGGGCGAAGTGACGAAGTGGTCGTCGGTGCTCCGGGCCAGCCTCTGCACCAAGTCTGCAGAGAACTTGCCTACCGACTTTGAGAAGGACTGTTCCGCTGCCCGCCGACTGCAGTAAGCCAGCGCCGCGGGTGCAATCACACAAATTAATAATATAAGCTTTGTCATCTCGTGCAATTCGTGGAAATAATAAAGAAGACTGTCAATAAATGAGTTGTTGCCGTATTTAATATACGTTGCGGCTTAGCGTTATCAAGCGCCGGACACAGATAATGAAGGGATGCGCTTTTGTTCCGATTCGATTGGACTAAAATATTGTGGGAAATATACGTTTTTTGTTTGAAAATTAAATATGATCATTTAAACTGATTAATGATTGTTGTTTGTATAACAAAATTCTAATTACATTAGTTCATATTGTAACAATTTTTGTAAAGTAAGACATAATACGGTCATGGGAAAACGAAGTTGAAATTTACAAAAATGACATGTACCATACGTGCACAATGTAAATGAAAAAACAAAAAGTAATTACATAATAATATGATCTGCCATGCCGGTGCCCGCGATGTCCGGCCGGTGGGGCGCGGGCTGACGCGGCGCATCTCTAGCGCGCGCGCCGCGGAGCGACAATGTCTTGGGGAAAACCAAGCGACCGCGCTCGCACCATTATTAATAACTAATTAGTCAGATTATTTCAATAACATTAATTTATAAACTTTTCCTCCGAGTGTACAACAACACAAACACGCACGTTAAACATTATTATATAGACAAGTTCCCGCGAATATTTTTTTTTTTTTTATAAAAAAAAGGGGGCAAACG